AAACAAGACTTCTTAGGCAAATTTAACTGCAGCAACTATCTGGATCATATAAAGCATACCCAGCCAACAAATACATCATTTTCAAACTAAATTATCTGGCCAGGCATGGTGGCTAATGTCTGTAATCCCAGCACTTTGCAAGGCCGAGGTGGGTGGATCACCTGAGGTCAGGAGTTCAAGACCAGCCTGGCCATCACGGTGAAACCCCATCTTAAAAAAAAAAAAAAAAATTATCTGATGTTCTGAACACAAAGAAGAGACTAATAACTCATCATCATTCTATAATTGCTTAAATACAAGGAATAAAGCAATTATGAGATAATTATTTCTAAGACAGAAATCATATCAATAAGATACATTTAGAAATTTAAAAGAAAAGCTATTACAGTGGCTTTGAAGAGGATTTAAAACCTAAACAACAGTATGCCAACATTCCTCATCACACCAAATTTTCAGCTAACCTCAGAAGGATGACTAGGTCTATACTAAGCTAATGGGTTCATAGGCTTAATAAGTTAAAACAAAGCTCTGTTTTGTATTCAATTACACATATAGACTTACATAATATTTAAAGAGCCTAAAATACATATTTGCTAATCCATGTAGGGTCCACCCAGTTTACCGGTCTCAAAAATTCAGAGATAATCAAACTTGGTCTAAGGACATTTTAATCTAAAAACAAAAAAAAAAGTACTGTCACATATGCCAGGAAGAAAAGCTAACAAAAATGTTTGGCTTTATTATTCAAAGTTTGAGTTAAAAAGTTAAAAATGTCTAAAATATTAATAATATGCTAGAAGGGTGGATAGTATATATATCCTTATAATCACCTTCCCACATACAAGAACCAATTCCACTTGGCAGTAAGTAAGAGACTATGTTTGCCTATCAATCTCTAATTTACTCATTATTTGCACATAACTATATAACAATAAAATGTAAACCATGGTTTATGCTGAGAATTATGGAGACTTTCTCCTCAGAATTAAAAGCAGATTAAAAAGGTTCTAAGTATAGCAGTCATTGGTTTGATTATTATACGAAAAGTTTGAAATGGACGAAAGGTTAAAAAAACCTCAACTGATTTTTAAAAAAAGCATACCTCACCTCAATGAAGCATGGCTGAGAGCTTTTATGGCAAGATTAAAACAATTAACTTACTTATTAAGTATACTAAAGGTCAATAAATTCACAAACTGTGAAAATTAAATTACATTCTACGTTAGGTATATATTTATTCAAAACCTAAGTCCCTGTTATATATAAATACATAAAAATGTGGAAGTATATAAAAAACCCAATATTCACAGGATTACACTACAGGATGGAAAATATGTATTTTTTTCCCCAAAATAATACATATTAAAGAAACAAGATCAAAATAAGTAGAATCTTTACAAAACAAACACGTGGTTAATTCTATCTCCTGCTTCCTTTTCCCCTCCCCTAATATTTTAGGGAAAGGGCATCTGAAAAAAGAATAGAAAGAGCTCATCCTAGGTTGCGGGTCTTTGGGGATAGTTACTTAACAGCTGAATCCAGAAGTTTCTAGGCAAAAGGAATAGGATAAGCAAAGATACCCTAACATTCTGCTCTGGGAGTTATATACAATTTTAAAGCATGAAAGCAGTAGCCTGGAGCTAGGTGATTACAGAGGGTCATGCAAAGAGATGGATCTAAACCAATTTACATAACAGGCAGCTACTGAAAAATTTTAAAAGAAACATTGTATTTCTGTCAATAACACATAAGAGGATAGATTAAAAGATTATTGCTAGATTCAGTGATGCTAAGGATCTAAACAAGGCAGAAGCAGTAAAACAGAATATGACAATTACAGCTAATCAAAATAGGGAGAATATATAATTCTGTGGGGCTGTGAAAGGGAGAGAATACCATTATTTGGCTTCTGCTTTTCTTTTTCATTTAAATACATAATCTAAGCGTAAACCCAGAATCTATGTAAAGGATACAGTGATCGGACATATAATAAAGATCTTCATTGCAGAAAACTAACAAATCTACAAAAGAGCTTTGTAAGGTAAGCCTGCTTAAAGAGAATCAAAACTTTTTAGTGAGGAATAAGAACAAAAACTGGCATTTAAATAACAAAGCTAGTAATTATGAATGTAAAAAGATTAACATAATTGCAACTATATGCTATTAAGAATAAAGGAAAATCAAATATGAATAGTATTATATAATACAATATTCTTACCAGCAAGTCTGATTTCAAATCTTTAGGATCATTTTCATTCAAGAGTATTTAAGGGCTACATCATTTTTCCCAAGTGCCTCTCTTAATCCTTGAATGATATTGAAATCACTTGTTTACAGAAAATATCAAAACACTCTTAAAGAAAATACTGTTTGCCTATTTTCCCTTCTTGAACTGTTAACCAGTATAACTCTGCTAGAATCTAATTTAATGATAGCTTTGCAAGCGATTTTAGCGATTCTCCATAAATATCCATAAATTTCACAAAACCTAGTATGTCTTACAGGATCTACTACTTTATTTTATAATACAACCACTCTTACTTATTCCATAAATAAAATCCTAATGCAAACCAACATCTCTTCTCTTCTGGACTTCTACAATGCTTCCTAACTTTCCTCCTAGCTTCCAACGTCAGGGGGTTGAGAGAGACACTGATCTCTGTCCTCCACACAGGGATTGAAATAAACATTTAAAAATCTAAGCCAAATCCTGCTCAACACTATCCCATAACATTCCATCATAATTAGTCTTTACTTCATTCATGTGTCAATTTAAATATCACCTCCTTGGAGAAGCTTGACTATGAAAACTAAAACAGAATCCTCTTGCAAAGCCCTCGCACGCCTAATTGTTCTTCCTAAGGTACTACAGTCATACATATTAAATGACAGGGATACATTCTGAGAAATGTGTCACTAGGCAATTTTGTCAATATGTGATCTTAAAGTATACTTATACAAACCAGGATGGTATGTGTACCAATGTCCGACCACCATTACTGAATATCAATCATTTCCCCTACCTGATCTGCAATGCCAATATCAAGTGTCATATATTAGGTTTCTTTATGTGCCCTATTATTTTCTTATGAGATCACCATCACATACGCAGTCCATCACTGACTGAAATGTCATTATGCAGTGCATAACTGTATTATATGTTATATACTAGTACTATGCTATACATTGGCTCTTTTAGTATCTTCCCCAACCTCCATACGCACATCCAAAAAGGTAAGCTCTAAAAGGACAGGGACTTTGTCAGCTAGATCCAACACCTAGAATAGTCCCTAGCACATCAGAGGCATTCATATAAATAGAGCAATTAAGTAATTGCACTCTACTGTCACAAGTTCATAAACTGCAACAACCAATGAGAGACTGAGTAACAAAGATCTGGAAACAACAGATACAAAAAAAAATTTGCTACTGTGGAACAGAGAGCAGTAAGACAATGGGAATGAATCACCAGTTTATTAGTGAACTTTTTGTGATGTGACAACTTTTTCTTCCCTGTATGTACTTACATAATAAATATTCCATTGACAAAGATCCTATGCATATTGGAACTGAATTCTAGGCTTAAAGATAACAATATACACAGACCTAGTCATTCTCAAACATTTTAAACAAAGTAAAATATAGAAGAAAATCAGCGAATTACACAGCTAAAATGACGCCAGTATCAACCAGAACTCACAAGGATTCTCTGTACTATAATTAATAGGAAAAATGTCAAACCTCTCAAGAATGCTGTTAACTAGAACATCCCTGCATCCTTTCTGTACATTAGATCCATAATAGCTTTCCTAAACTGATAAAGTTTCTGAAGGCTAGTATAGTCTACCATAGTAGCACTGGACCTTCCTGATAGTACACATTACCCTAAAACTGTTTGATAAAATTCCATCACATCATTATCCTAAACAGAGAGTGAATTTAAGAAATCAAAAACAAATGATTTCATGTAAAACTGTACTTAGTTTGAACATTTCAAGCATAAAAATTCAAAATTCAAGATTGCGAAAGTACATATTACATGAAACAGAATTTTAGAGCTAAAAGGGAATCACACACCTTCACTATATTTTACAAATACCTACTACTAAATGAAGCCAGGCATTTATTCTAAAATATTGGGAAATGGTTATGAGGAAGACAAATATAACCCCACTCTAATACAGCATATAGGAGAATTAATTAAATTAATAAAAAGGAGTCATAAGAAAATACCAGGGAAATCTAAACTAATAGATCTATTGCCCTCATTTCAAATGTGGGGAAAGTGATCTGCCCCATAAAATTTAACAAGGCAGGGGGAAAAGTCCAAGGCTTAATTTGATCAAATTTTTCCCTAGTATTACCACTTCATGTTCTCAAATTTAGATTTTTTTTTTTTTTTTTGAGACGGAGTTTCGCTCTTGTTACCCAGGCTGGAGTGCAATGGCAGGATCTCGGCTCACCGCAGCCTCCGCCTCCTGAGTTCAGGCAATTCTCCTGCCTCAGCCTCCTGAGTAGCTGGGATTACAGGCACGCACCACCATGCCCAGCTAATTTTTTGTATTTTTAGTAGAGACGGGGTTTCACCATGTTGACCAGGATGGTCTCGATCTCTTGACCTCGTGATCCACCCGCCTCGGCCTCCCAAAGTGCTGGGATTACAGGCTTGAGCCACCGCGCCCGGCTCAAATTTAGATTTTTAATGTCATCTGACTTTAATTCACAAGATATTTAAAGCTATCATTACTTTAAGAAATTCATCAAACTTTTAATTCAACTGTGAATTCGTAACATTACAGTACTGCACTCGCTAACTCTTCCTGGTATGAAATTCAGCTCATTAAGGAAACAGATGGGCCATATAAATCTCATTTCTAGATCATGACCAAAGTAATTTCTCAGGGGTTTGATACACTGCATGGAAAAGGCTCCTAAGGACTAGACCATATGCATACTTTGTAATATGAATTCTAATCAATTGCAAGTGTGAAGCTTTGTACCTGTGTGATGGAGAAGGAGCTTCAAATTGCGGCACTGTGCTATCCTCACTGACAGGAGAATATAAGCCACTCATTTCCTGAAAGTAAAATTATTTGAATTATAGTAGACATTTCAAATACAAGATATATAAATCAAAAAGAGGTATGATACATTCCTTTCTATTCCCAGGTTTTCCTCAGTCCCTGTTTGTTCTCAATAGCAAATTTCTGAAGGCTTCCTCTCCAGAGTACAAAAGCAAGGACATGTGAAAGGAGACAAACCTCTTCTATGGTACACAGTCTTGAAGAACTATCAACTGTTTACTAAATATTGTTCATCACTAAGCCACCAAATGCAGAAAAAGATACATGTAAACATTTTAAATGACATGTACACTAGACTATGTGAATAGTGAACTAGCAAATCATTAATTTGGTTGATAACCTATTGATAAATATTAAGATAAATATGACAGTAAGGTAACTGAATCATTAGGTTCAACTCTTCACACAAAAAGCACCCAGGATATGTCAATCTCTGCTGTAAATATATTCTCCAGAAACATTAAGACTGAAATACTAGCTTTGTTTAATAATGAGTTAAATTCTAATTTTTTAATCAGTAATCCAGAATAGGCCTAATCAACCATTACATAAATTTTGTCTCTGAATTACACTGACAACCTAGCTGCCATTTTTTATGTACTATATTTTGATTACTGAAAAAATAGCAAATTTTAAAATGCCACTAAAGATGATTAATCAGGTAGAATTATTTCTGGTTAATCCAAGTTCAGCTCAATCATACAGTCAAGTAAGTGACATAAATGTGTAACAACTTAAGAATGCCACAGAGGATAGTGAATATCCACTAACTATTAAATCCGTTAATTTTTAACATGTTCTATGTATCAGCAAAAGAAAATTATAACACACATAAAAAATTAAAAACACAAACTAAATTTATTAATAAATACAGCCAAAGGCAAAAACCTCACATCATAATACCCTATGAGACTCCCAAGGATCCTCCAATAAATTTCCTTGGGTAAATTATATTAAACTGTAAATTCCCAGAATATTGGTAATGTATTCTTATATCTCTTTTTCAATTAACCTTAACACCTAGAAATATGCATGGTGGATACGTAAAATTAATTTTAAAAAACATTTTTGTGGTAATAATTGACAGTTTTAAGTTATTATGACAGCACTCCAAGAAAAGAGTGATTTTTTGGGTCAATCTAATCAAGAAAAATTACGGCAATAAAACATTGTAAAATTTAGACTACATTTTATCATCAAGTGTTCAGAATGTTTTTTCTACAAAAATCCATTCTCAATTAAAATGAAAGTGACAGCTGTTTCTTTGTAACCAAGACCAATCCCATAAACTTAACAGAAAGGTGACAATTTCATGAAATTGAAAAACTGCTAAAGATGGGAGAAATTCTTGATTCCTTACTTCCACTCTCTTAATATCCTCTTCCAAAACACTTAGCTCCTTCTGGATCTGTTCCAGTTGCTGCAGATTAAATAGAGAGAGAGACAAAAAAAAAAAAAAAAAAAAGCCTAAGCCAAACCAAAATGGCATCACCACGATCATAAAATAAATTTACATATCAAACTAGGCACTAAAGGCAAATTAACAAGAGGGATAATCATCAACAAAATACAACTAGAAGTTCCCATTTTTAAATGCAAAGGTAGAGAATTACGTTTAAGAAAACATAATGTTGTACTTCTTTAATACAAGTTTGATTTTACAATAAAAGTATGAGAGATGAACAATGACAGTGACTTAAAAAAATACAAGATAGCCAAAGAACTTCCACATTACCTCATTTAACTGTTAACAATCAAACAGAAAAATTCAGCATGTTAGTTGTTAATGATACTTTATTTAATTTTTTAATTTTTTTTTTTTTTTTTTTTTAAAGACGAGGTTTCACCATGTTGGCCAGGCTGCTCTTTAACTCCTGACGTCAGGTGATCCACCCACCTCGGCCTCCCAAAGTGCTGGAATTACAGGCATGAGCCACCGCGCCCAGCTAATTTTTAAATTTTTAATAGAAATGGGTTTCACTAGGCCGGGCGCGGTGGCTCAAGCCTGTAATCCCAGCACTTTGGGAGGCCGAGGTGGGTGGATCACGAGGTCAAGAGATCGAGACCATCCTGGTCAACATTGTGAAACCCCGTCTCTACCAAAAACACAAAAAATTAGCTGGCCATGGTGGTGCGTGCCTGTAATCCCAGCTACTCAGGAGGCTGAGGCAGGAGAACTGCCTGAACCCAGGAGGCAGAGGTTGTGGTGAGCCGAGATCGCGCCATTGCACTCCAGCCTGGGTAACAAGAGCGAAACTCCGTCTCAAAAAAAAAAAAAAAAAAAAAAAGAAAGAAATGGGTTTTACTATGTTGCCGAGGCTGGTCTCCAACTTTTGAGCTTAAGCAATCTGCCCGCCTCAGCCTCCCAAATTGTTGGGATTACAGACGTCAGCCACCGGGCCAGGCCTTTAATCACAGTTTATAGAGAGGTTAAATCCCCTCACCCAAAAGCAACCACAAGTTAGTATCTGAACACCTCCTTCTTAAGGGTTTTAAGAACACATTTGAGATATTTTAATTTTTATATCTTGCCTATTCAATCTTAATAATTTTTAAAAATGCCACTAAAATACAAACATTGTAACTGTTGAATTACATTCAACAATATATTGAACCATTCCCTTTCTCCTTAGCGATTTAAGTTGCCTGCAAACTATCACATATAATTCTGGAACATACTGGTCTTTCAGATTTCATTTCATTTTCAGATTTTATTAAAAGGTTACTTCAGATTTTATTAAGAGAGTATTAAAAATAAAATTATTCAATCAAAAGAAAACTGCTTTCCAGAAACACTATACCAATCTAAATTTCTATAGCCAGTATGCGGCTGTCTTACTCTAATCCAGATACAGCGAATGAATTTATAAAATGTAAAATATTAACAATACTTATATATTACTGATTGCCAGATATGAAAAATGAGGCACAGAAGGGTTAAATGATTTGTCCAAAAATCATTCAGTGAGTAAGTGGCAGAACTGGAATTCAAATTAAGGTCAGATTCTTGTTCCAGAATTTATGCTGTTGACTACTATTCTTTCCCACCTAATGAAAGCAGTACCTTATTATTAATTCATTTCCTTAATGACTGATAAGGTTGAACAGGGTTATTTTTTTACAGACCTATTAGCATTAGTATCTTCTCTTCTGTGGCAATACAAGCAAAGTTGGTAATCTAATTAATAATATATTCATTCAACTATTTATCAATTCTAGGCACCTTCCTAAGTTGAGAAGAACAGGATCTAAAAACAACTGTATCTCTTTCCCTCACTAAGTTCAGTCTAGGTGACATGGCAAACAAGAAAGCCAATAGTTGAAATACCATATTAAACATTTTGATGATGTTATGCAATATACTAAATGAATATAGACCACATCTAATGAAGAGCTGGTGGGGTAGGAGGAGGATTAGATGACTAAAATTTGATTGAAAATTAAATCAAATAAAAGGCTGAAGCTAAGGCAATAAATGAACTTGTTTAACATCAATCAGTATAGTCAGAAAAGATAAAAACAAAACTGGAATGGTAGGGAACGCCAATGGTAAAGAGATGAGCAAAGGAAGAAGCAGCATTAACTATCAAGAAGGGCAAAGTGGCAGCCAGAAAACCAGGGGAAATGACAGCACTATTAGAGAAATCAAAGGTTAAAAGAGTGATCTGCATTTTCAAAAGCTTTCAACTCATCTATCTACTTTAATAAACTTCCTATCACCTTAAAACATGTTACACAATGCCACCTTAACTGAAACACTGCTCACTCTTAAAGACACTGTCTGTTCTGAAACTCTTTCAAGTAACAGCTGCTCAACTGATAAAAAGTCTCTAAAGCCCCAGAGTTTACAGGACTTATTAATAGATAGGAACTCACCATTTCTACTCCATTCCAAGGCCATTTCCAACTATCGGTATCCCAACCTAAAATTAGTTTTCCACCATACCATAAAAACCACTCTGTCTAGCTCATACAAAGCAGCCAAGTCCTTGTCTACACACTTTAGCCATCTATAAACATTCCAGTTATTCCCCACCATCATTGAAGCCTTTTGGTTCATGGATGTTTTCAGCTCCAGTGATGCTGATCTCTACTTTAGCAAAACACTGCCATAGTCATCCCTTAAACATTTTCAGTTAACTACCTTAAACTGTTCTACTCTTGAAATTTTTATTTAAGCAAATGCTTTACTGTGAGAGGTCTTTAGTATAATTGTTTTAAAAAATACATTTAACAAGAAGAATGAGTATCTGACAAAGGTCTAATATCCAGAATCTTAAAAAAAAAACTCAAATAAATGAAAAACAAAAAACAACCCCATTAAAAAGTGGGGATACATCTGAATTGAACCTTAGAAAGACTGAAGGAATTTTAAAAAAATAAAAAGTTGGGATAGACATAAACAGACAATTCCCAAAAGGCGACATACAAGCAGCCATCACACATGAAAAAAAGCTCTATATCACTAATCATCAGATAAACGTCAATAAATACCAAAATGAGATACCATCTCACACTAGTCAGAATGGCTGTTATTAAAAAGTGAAAAAAATAAAAATAAAAATAAAACAAGAGATGCTGGTGAGGCTGGTGGGAATGTAAATTAGTTCAGCCACTGTGGTGAATGGAGTTTGGAGATTTCTGAAAGAACTTAAAAGAGAACTACTATTTGACTCAGTAATCACATTACTGAGTATGTATCTCCCCCCCAAAATAAATAAATCATTCTACCAGAAAGACAATGTATTTGTATGTTCATTGCAGTTCTATTCATCACAGCAAACATTCATCAATGCCCACCACTGCCCATCAATGGTGGTCTCAATAAAGGTGTGATACACAGACACCATGGAATACTACGCAGCCATTAAAAAGAACAAAAATCATGTCATTTGCAGCAACATGGATGGAGCTGGAGGCCATCATCCTAAGTGAATTAACACAGGAAGAGAAAAACAAATACCACATGTTCTCATTTGTAAGTGGGAGTCATTGGATAGTCATAGACATAAAGGCAGTTACAACAGACACTGGGAACTACTGGGGTTGGGGAGGGGCCAAAGGATCGAAGAACTAACTGTTGAGTACTATGCTCACATTTCGGAGTGATGGGGCCAATCATACCCCAAACCTTAGCATCATACAGTGTATCTACATAAGAAACCTGTATATGTACTCCCTGAATCTAAAATAAAAGTTGAAATTATATTAAAAAAGTAAAGATCTATAACATCAATAGCCAAAGACAGCCAATATCACTTGTATGATATATAATAACTGAAATCAATTTTAATTCTGCTTTTGAACTTGAAATTCCAGAAAAATCTCCAATGTCACCTGAAATCTCAAAATATTAAACTCTAATGTCATCTCTAAAAATAATGTTCCATCTGCTAGTACCTCAAAGCTTTTACTGGATAATATACCTATTGTTACATATGGAGGCTACTATATCTAAGGTGAACCTCATATAACTGCCAATAATAAAACAATTTTTCCTTCAGAAACAGCCACTGTGTATGGTTCAATTTAAAAACGAAGTTAACAAAGGCACGGTGTTGTCCTGATAAATATACAGATAGAATGCAAAACAAAATGATACAACCTATCTATAAGAAAGTCTGACAAGGTATCAGGAAAGAAATATTAAAAAGAAAAAAGTTTGGAATAAAATCTTTTGAGAGCACGTATTAGATTTGAGGTGCTTCCATTTCAAGATGAGAATTCTGAAGGGATTTGGAGCTCTAAGTTATATAGTGCAAGACATTTTAATACAAGTAAATAGATAAAAGACAAAGGACAACCATTTCAAGGATGTGGAAAGAAGAAATGGGCTAAATTCACTCTGCAAACCTCACAACCCCAAGAAGGAGAACCTAGAAGAAAAGCCTGAATATGAGTCTAAGAATGTTTGAAAGATATATGAAGAAAATCAAGAAGCTGAACTGCTTTATCTAAAGGAAAATCAATCACAAATTAGGAATGATAATAAACTACTAGATCACATTTACTTTAACACCATTACAGAGTTTGGTGTTACTTAAAATAAAAAATAAATATATAAGATGGAGAACTAAGACAATGCTATTTGATAGCATGGGAGTAAGGAACCAATAGCAAGCACTCTCTTAACACTGGGCCAAAGTCCTCCCAAAAAAACTTAGAGAAATATTTCATGTAAATGTAAAGAGTAAGTAAGTCTCAGAATCCCTTATGAGGGTAAGAGAGAGAGTTTCCCATTATTGATAATGGCGTTGGTGTAGGTCGGTTTTGTTGGTACTCATTTGACTTTCATTAGTGGCCTGATAAAGATATGCTTAAATATTAAACTCATTATTTGAATTTTTAATATAATTTAGAATAAATTACATATAATTGTTCCAAACTGAAAAGAATACACCATTTCACTTTCAGTGGGGA